GTCCCAGCTACTTGGGAGGCTGAGGCAAAAGAATCACCTAAGCCCAAGAGCTGGAGGTTGCTGTGAGCTGTGACACCACAGCACTCTACCGAGGGCGACAAAGTGAGACTCTGTCTCTTAAAAAAAAAAGAGAGAGAGAGAGAGAGAGAAACATAAATGTGAATTCACCTTATGATTTTATTATCTATTTTAGGTTACATAAAATAAAGTGGTTTTATTTATAATTTTTTGATTGTGACACTTTATTTTTTTTGAGACAAAGTCTCACTTTGTTGCCTTTAGTAGAGTGCTATGGTGTCACAGCTCATAAGCAACCTCAAACTCTTGGGCTCAAGCGACTCTTTCACCTCAGCCTCCCAAGTAGCTGGGACTACAGGCATCTGCCATAATACCTGGCTATTTTTGTTGTTGTTGTTGCAGTTGTCAGTGTTGTGTGGCAGGCTCAGGCTGGATTTGAACTGCCAGCTCTGGTGCGGGTGGTGCTCTAGCCAGTGAGCTACAGGCGCCAATCCTGGTTGTGACACTTTTTTTTTTTTGGTGGTTTTTGGCCATGGCTGGGTTTGAACCCGCCACCTCCAGCATATGGGACCAGAGCCCTACTCCTTTCAGCCACAGGTGCTGCCCCTGATTGTGACACTTCTTGAAGCCATCTCTAGGATGAAGTCCAGGCTTACTCTCGCATATCTCACAGTAGAAAATGGTTTCTCTCCTTCCACCTCTCTTTTTTTCTGCCACAAACCATGCAATCCTTTGATATTTTTTTCCATTTTGCATTATAGAATGCATCTTCCTGTTTAGCCTTTCGTCAGTGTCAGAAGATGATGGTCTTCCCCTTGAATTTCTGTTCCTCACAGTGCTCACAAGCCAAGAAAGGTGTGTCTGCACTTTTTCTCCACTCTCCTCCTTATCTAATTAGTAACGATGTAGCTGTTAACAACTTCAACTTCCATCAGCCAGAAGAATAATTTTTTCTACCATCTGTAGGACCTCCTTGTAAATCTGTAACATCCATGGTAGGGTTCAGCCTGTCCACTCTTTGCATAAACTTTGTGTATCCTAAAATAACTGTCACTTTTTTTTTTTCAGTTTTGGCTGGGGCGGGGCTTAAACACACCATCCCTGGTATATGGGGCTGGTGCCCTACTCCTTGAGCCACAGGCGCCGCCCAACTGTCACTTTTTCAAATTTAACAGGCAGTTTCTTCCTATATAACCAGTGATCAACTGTGTTTGTGAGCCAAAGAAAGTACTCAGCATTGTCATTAACCTCTTATCATTGAATGAGAATGAGAAGCACATGATTTTCATATCACACTGACAGCCACGTAACTCATACTTCTCAAGTTTCTTCTTCTTTTTTTTTTGAGACAGAGCCTCAAGCTGTCCCCCTGAGTAGAGTGCCGTGGCATCACAGCTCACAGCAACCTTCAACTCCTGGGCTCAAGCGAGTCTCCTGCCTTAGCCTCCCAAGTATTGGGACCACAGGTGCCTGCCACAATGCCCGCCTATTTTTTGGTTGCAGCCATCACTGTTGTCTGGTGGGCCAAGGCTGGATTCAAACCCACCACCTTAGGTATATGTGGCTGGCGCCTTAGCCACTTGAGCCACAGGTGCCGAGCCAAGTTTCTTCTTTTTAAGATCACTTGAAAAATCCTTCCTAGAAGCCGTAACTATTGCTGTTATATATTTCTTCTTTTTTTTTTTTGGAGACAGAGCCTCAAGCTGTCCCCATGGGTAGAGTGCCGTAGCATCACAGCTCACAGCAACCTCCAACTCCTGGGCTCAAGCGAGTATCCTGCCTTAGCCTCCCATGTAGCTGGGACCACAGGTGCCTGCCACAACGCCTGGCTATTTTTTTTGGTTACAGCCATCATTGTTGTTTGGCGGGCCAGGCTGGATTCAAACCCACCACCTTAGGTATATGTGGCTGGCGCCTTAGCCGCTTGAGCCACAGCGCTGAGCCTACATATTTTTTCATTTTATAAAATTCCCAAGCATATTGAGGGTGAGAAAGCCTGAACCACTCGTATGTGTTTGCAAAACTTGTGCCAAATGAATCACTATTCAAGATGTAAATGGCAAATCAGGACGAATAAGACTTTCTGTCATGATAGGGCAAGTGAGAAAACACAAAACCATTTTCAGAATCACAGAGGCAACAAATTTGTAGGCCCCACTTGTAGGCTTCTACAGATTGTAGCACTTGAATTGAATCCTTCCTTTGAAACCTACTGTGCTCTCATCTATAGTCACATTTCTTCTCAGTACATAAAGTTCTTTGAATTTATGGTCAGTACACTCACACTCTTCATCTTGCTCCCTCGGGTACATACACTCCCTTGAGCAGTTACAGGAGGAACTAAATCCAGCATCTAAAATATTTGGGAAAAACTCCTGTGAGAGAAAACATCCTTGAAGAATGGAGCTCTGTCTAGCCAATCTTCAGTAAAATAGTCAACTAACTGCACTTTCAAATTTAGAGCCATGATCAGTATTACACCGAAGAATGCCTTCATTTCTTCTAATGAAACATCCTTCCACAAGTGTCATATTAAGAATTTTGTTAGTGGAGTCACTTTCTATATTTTTCCTGCTGCATACATATTTGATATGGTCACAATTTCACCAATAAAATCATCTGAGAAAAAGAGCCAGAAATATTCAAGTTTAGTTTTTGGCCGAGCACTCTGAGGAAGGGTGAATCCCTGCTGTGTGACACAGCATGGGAATTTTATAAGATTCTCATCACCATCATGAAACCTTCCACCTACTTGTTACAGTTTGCATATTCTTGTCACTTTCTTCTCCATCACTAGCTTCAGATTCACTGGTACTAATGTCACTGCACACAGGAAGAATGTCATGCTCACTTTCATCACTAAATTCTGACAGCCTCAAAAATCCATGCTGCAGTATCGTCATCAATTATACACCTTCTCCCAGCCATTTTCCTAAAAGCACAACTGCACAAATACAACACACCTTTTCAAATCAAAACACTCAGCTTGCTGAGAAACTGAAAGAGTACAACCTGCATTATCTGTTGGCTGGAGTCCACGCTAAGTGAGGAAATGTGTCAGACAGTGGAGCCAGCAAACAAAGGCAACAAAAAAGAGTATTAGCCGTCTTTGGACTTCAGAGCAGAACAGGATGAGGTCCAACACAGGATCAGAAAAAGTTTAATATCATATTTTAAAATGATGATTTAAATACAAACCTTCTCTGGAGTCACATATAGAAGTTTTATAATTGGGTCTTTCTTCGATAATTGGAGATAAATACTTGTAGCTTCTGAGTCAGTCTTATCACCTGTCAGATACGTAGCTGGAATCTAAGTATGAAAGTAGCAAATAATTTAAATTTTATACATTAATCTGACATCTGTCCTTTGGTTTCATAAATGTTTTAAGTCTCATATAAAATGTATCAAAGGAAATGTCTATACATTTTAAGAAAGAAATACATTATATTAAAATTCTAAGTTTTAAGTCCCATATGACATCTACAATTATAAGAGGTGCTTAAATGTGACTTGTGTGATCTTTTGTTATTGGCACATATTGAGTATTACGATTTTAATAGTATTTTTCCTCTCTTAAAATGTGTAAACATTTTGGGTGGTGCCTGTGGCTCAAAAGGGTAGGGCACCAGTCCCATACGCCGGAGGTGGCAGGTTCAAACCCAGACCCGGCAAAAAACTGCAAAAATAAATAAATAAATAAAAATAAAGTCTATTAAAAAAAAAATGTGTAAACATTTTTTGGGCTCGGTGCCTGTGGCTCAAGTGGCTAAGGCGCCAGCCACATCCACCTAAGTTCGATTCCCCAGCCCGGCCCGCCAAACAAC